TGATCCTGAGAATGTGTCGATGGTCCTGAGAATGTGTCGATGATCCTGAGAATGTGTCGATGGTCCTGAGAATGTGTCGATGGTCCTGATAATGTGTCGATGGTCCCGAGAATGTGTCGATGGTCCTGATAATGTGTCGATGGTCCCGAGAATGTGTCGATGGTCCCGAAAGTGTCGATGATCCCGAGAATGTGTCGATGGTCCGGAAAGTGTTGATGGTCCCGAGAAAGGGTCGATCGTCCCGAAAGTGTCGATGTGTAGATGGTCCCGAGAATGTGTCGATGGTTCTGAAAGTGTCGATGGTCCTGAATGTGTCGATGGTCCTGAGAATGTGTCGATGGTCCCGAAAGTGTCGATGGTCATGAGAATGTGTCGATGGTCCCGAAAGTGTCGATGGTCCCGAAAGTGTCGATGGTCCGGAAAGTTCGATCGTCCTGAGAATGTGTCGATGGTCCAGAGAATGTGTCGATGGTCCCGAAAGTGTCGATGGTCCTGAGAATGTGTCGATGGTCCCGAAAGTGTCGATGGTCCCGAAAGTGTCGATGATCCTGAGAATGTGTCGATGGTCCCGAAAGTGTCGATGGTCCTGAGAATGTGTCGATGGTCCCGAAAGTGTCGATGGTCCTGAGAATGTGTCGATGGTCCTGAGAGTGTCGATGGTCACGAAAATGTCGATGGTCCTGAGAATGTGTCGATGGTCCGGAAAGTGTCGATGGTCACGAAAGTGTCGATCGTCCCGAGAATGTGTCGATGGTCCGGAAAGTGTCGATGTTCCCCGAGAATGTGTCGATGGTCCGGAAAGTGTCGATGGTCCTGAGAATGTGTCGATGGTCCGGAAAGTGTCGATGGTCCTGAGAAAGTGTCGATGGTCCTGAAAGTGTCGATGGTCCCGAGAATGTGTCGATGGTCCGGAAAGTGTCGATGGTCCTGAGAATGTGTCGATGGTCCGGAAAGTGTCGATGGTCCTGAGAAAGTGTCGATGGTCCTGAGAAAGTGTCGATGGTCCGGAAAGTGTCGATGGTCCTGAGAAAGTGTCGATGGTCCTGAGAAAGTGTCGATGGTCCGGAAAGTGTCGATGGTCCTGAGAAAGTGTCGATGGTCCCCGAGAAAGTGTCGATGGTCCCCGAGAAAGTGTCGATGGTCCCGAGAATGTGTCGATGGTCCGGAAAGTGTCGATGGTCCCGAGAATGTGTCGATGGTCCGGAAAGTGTCGATGGTCCGGAAAGTGTCGATGGTCCCGAAAGTGTCAATGATCCCGAGAATGTGTCAATGATCCCGAGAATGTGTCGATGGTCCTGAGAATGTGTCGATGGTCCCGAGAATGTGTCGATGGTTCCGAAAGTGTCGATGGTCACGAAAGTGTCGATGGTCCCGAGAATGTGTCGATGGTTCTGAAAGTGTCGATGGTCCAGAGAAAGTGTCGATGGTCCCCGAGAAAGTGTCGATGGTCCCCGAGAATGTGTCGATGGTCCGGAAAGTGTCGATGGTCCCGAATGTGTCGATGGTCCCGAATGTGTCGATGGTCCCGAGAATGTGTCGATGGTCCGGAAAGTGTCGATGGTCCCGAAAGTGTCGATGGTCCCGAGAATGTGTCGATGGTCCGGAAAGTGTCGATGGTCCCGAAAGTGTCGATGGTCCCCGAGAATGTGTCGATGGTCCCGAATGTGTCGATGGTCCCGAAAGTGTCGATGGTCCCCGAGAATGTGTCGATGGTCCCGAATGTGTCGATGGTCCTGAGAATGTGTCGATGGTCCTGAGAATGTGTCGATGGTCCTGAAAGTGTCGATGGTCCCGAAAGTGTCGATGGTCCCCGAGAATGTGTCGATGGTCCCGAATGTGTCGATGGTCCTGAGAATGTGTCGATGGTCCTGAGAATGTGTCGATGGTCCTGAAAGTGTCGATGGTCCCGAATGTGTCGATGGTCCTGAAAGTGTCGATGGTCCGGAAAGTGTCGATGGTCCGGAAAGTGTCGATGGTCCCGAATGTGTCGATGGTCCCGAATGTGTCGATGGTCCCGAAAGTGTCGATGGTCCTGAGAATGTGTCGATGGTCCCGAAAGTGTCGATGGTCCCGAAAGTGTCGATGGTCCTGAGAATGTGTCGATGGTCCTGAGAATGTGTCGATGGTCCCGAAAGTGTCGATGGTCCCGAAAGTGTCGATGGTCCTGAGAATGTGTCGATGGTCCTGAGAATGTCTCGATGGTTCCGAAAGTGTCGATGGTCCCAAAAGTGTCGATGGTCCTGAGAATGTGTCGATGGTCCCGAAAGTGTAGATGGTCCCGAAAGTGTCGATGGTCCTGAGAATGTGTCGATGGTCCCGAAAGTGTCGATGGTCCCGAAAGTGTCGATGGTCCCGAAAGTGTCAATG